TTTTCCACAACATCCAGGTGCCAGATGAACCCATAAATGTCCTGGGATAGTTCTGACCTTGCCTGAGAGAGTTTAAACTGAGCCTGATTGCAGTTAGGTAGAATAATTCTCCAGGGCTTGCAGCTTCACACTTTCCACCCTGCAAATACAGTTTGGTTGACACAAGTTCCAAGCATGATGCACACGTGAAAAAACAACACAGGAAAATGCCCTCCAACAACGTTTCTTTAACAACCCACCCAGAAATCAGYTCCACTTTCACTCTGTCCTTTTTGGAGATGTTTTTCCCTCTGTTGGGGCAGAGAAGGTGAGTCATGGAACAGAGACAGTGTGGAAATTCACATTCAGCTATGAAAGTGCATGTTATGACTACCATGAAAAGAAAATCATCCACACGACTCAATCTCAGTGTAGGTCACACCCACCTTCACAGAAATATGAGTTTAAACCTGTTCTTTTTGGTTGATTGACGTGGCTGGCTGCWGCAAGCTGCTTCCTCTGCCTGTCACACTTAGCCTTCACCTTTGTTTTGTAAGATYTGAAATCTCTCTTCAGTCAGCTGTGCCCAGCCAGGTGGATACAGCACTGGTCACAGCGGGCTGGGGGTCACCCCTTTGCTCTGACCCCTTCATAAGCATCTTCCCAACCCCAAGATGGGCTGTTGCAGTATTCCCTAGTGTTTGAGGGGTGGCAGAGCACGGAKAGTGCCTCCCTGCTCTTAGGTTTTCATGTCCTGAACCCTCCCCTCCAGCATTTTATCTTCAAGTGCAGGATTTGCCCTTTCCTTTTAAAATACGGTGCCTGCTGCTGCCACCTACCTTTTGTGCTGGAGCGGGTCCTGGAAATATTCCAACCAGCGAGTCTGGGGAGGAGCCCTTGGTTTCCTCCTCATCCCAAGAGCTAAACCCAAGCTACAAACCACGTGGTTAATTTGTTGTGTGGGCAGGAGACTTTATCTGAAAAACCTTTTCTGSTGTGGAAGAGGAAAGGTTTCAAAATCCATCAAGAGATCACTTCTTGCTCTTGCCTGGCTGTGAGGGCTTTCATACAGCAGATCTTGGCATCTGCCTTGCAGAGCAGGTGGTCACGTCATCCAGGGAGCATTTAATGCAGCAGGGGATGCAGAGAAAGGTGGCTGGGAAGTGTGTGGTGCTGCATAACTGAGATCTGAACATGATTCTCACCCTTCTCAACCACTCCATGACACTGGCAGTAAAACAGAACCAGAGTTAGAGATGAAACACCATTCTCAAATGTTTGTCCCCAGAAAACCTCTGCACAACTTCAGGCATGTTCTTGGAGGAGCACAAAACTCTTAGGAATGCTGACATGTGTGGTTTGTGCTGGGTTTGTCTATCAGTCCCCAGATGGCTCAGAACACGTGGGAAATATTTAAGTGAAATAAATGTGGCTTTTCCGTGGGTCCTAACATTAAGAGGGACATAGGATAGCTCTAACTCTCCTTTCCCACCTGCTTTTCTGCAGCAAACAGCAGACCTGCAATTAATTTTCGGCGAGGAGGAGCTGCAGCCAACACCAATCTGTCCAGCCCGGGCGCTGCCGTGCAGAGGTTTCGGCGTCACAGGCTTGGATTTCTGTGCTGACATCCCAGCCAGGCCCATCACCAGCTCCAGCCTTCAGCTGAGGAGCAGCACACAATCTCTGAGTAAGTAATTGGTTCCTTTTCTTTACCCTGAGACGGCATCACTCYCCTACAGTTTGGGAGCTAAGTATAGGAATGATTTCACCCCCCTTTCTCAGCCACCTTGATGGGAGAGAAAGCCTGGCAGACAACAGCTTTATGCTGCTGTTCAGGGCAGGAAGCAAGAAAGGATATTATATCAAACAGAAGGCATGGGAGAATTTCAGGTTAGATGGAGCATACTTAGTCACAGAAGAATTGGGTCRGTGCTCTGGGACCTGTGCTCACTTCCTGCAGGAACCCTAACTCAGCCCAAAATAGTAGCAGTTAGGTAAAAGCCAAATATCTTCCCATTTTTCTCCCCACAGCAAATACTAATGCTTACGTCATTAAAGGATAAGCATAAATAGAACAAGCCTGGGGCTGTGATCTGCAAAGTTCTCGCTCTGYGGATGAACCATCAGCTTTTCTTATAGCTCACTATTACCCACTTGTGCCATCAAACTTCTCACTGACGATGCTATCAGGATGAAATAGGCCTTCATATCCACCCAACACCTGCAGCAGTCAGTGAAGAATCAGAGCACACATCTGTAGGTTCTGTGTGTGACATGGTTTTCATCTCACTGACTGGGACAGCATGGGACATGCACCAAAGAATGTGTCCTAGTRGCAATTTGGACTCTGTTTTGGAAARCAGGGAGAGTTTGGCTCTATGGGTGCAAGGTGTGCCAYACCTGYTGTCCTCAGGGACACAGAACAGCCCACAACTGYTTGATTTCGCCCTACAGAGCCACTGCAGCCACTGCCTGCACCACTTGGGTTCACCAGTGCTCTCCCCTATGCCCTCCCCACAGGGCAATCAACTTCTCTCCAGAAACTGGCAGCCAGCATTTGTAGGAAAACACCTGAAACTCTGCCCAGAGCCACACACCCCTACCCATCCCTCTACCAGGCTTTGCAAATGTTTCCAACTGGAGCAGGCAGAATCCGTGGGCAGGTGCTCAGCACACCCATCAGCAGAGAGCTGTTGACATCAGTGGAAACAGCCTTGACACGCATGAGAATCCTTATATTGTTCAGGGACACCCTAGAGCTGAAATCCCCTAGGAGGATTCCTGGGGCACCAAACACATTCAGGAAAGAGAGGTGCTTGGAAGAATTAGGGCTCTCAGCAGTAATTGSTGTGTGCAGAACCAATTCCCACTAAAACCAGGTGTTTTTAAAGGAACTGCTTGTCACTTTAGTGCCTTATAACGCTTGAACCTGGAGTCCTAGGGTCCTGTGCCTGGTTCCCAAGGTAAACACATGTGATTTATTTCAGAAAGGCATCTGCAGCACAGGAATTCATTACATACATCCCTGATGGGCAGCAGCCAACATTTCAAATGTGCCAAGTTACCAGAATTTTATTAAAAGCTGTTAAGGGTTAGAGGGAAGGTGCMGAGAAAAGCAACCTCCTTCCCAAAGCCAGGTGGCTTAGGCTCGACTCAYGCCGCTTCCCGAATGGATGAGGCAAGCTGCAGTCAGAGGCTCCTTCCAGCAACAGCTCGGTCCCCCTGGATGCACAAATATTCTGGGGAGGGGGAGGGAGAGAGAAAAGAGTGAAACCTAYTCAATTACATCAAGATCACGAGTGGCCCTAGTAAAATCATTTATGGAGTGAGGGAACCCGGAGCGGTTTGGGCTGGAGCCATCTGCAGTTATTTGGTATATACAGAATCGGTTTCTATGGATTTTATTAATAGGTCACGCGATTGTATACGAGGATGTGAGATCTGAATCTCTCCGGAGGGGTCCCTGGTTGGGGTTTCTATTGCCTTTATAGGCAATGGCTCAAAATTTCTTGTGGCAGCAACTCCTTAAAAACTTGAGGGGAATGGGGCTGGGTTTTTCTCTCCCCCACCAAAAATCTTGAATTCACTTTGTTCCTCTTCCTCTCCACAACACATTTACTAAATGGGGAAACCAGGAAATAATCAGAGAAATATTCTTACTTATTTTTTCCATTGTSTGCATGAATTTTCTCTCTTTCCCACCAGTCTGAGGGATATCTGGTACATAACTCAGCTCCCACTTCCATCTGTTTTGCAGCCTGTCGTTGGCCCTTTTTTAGGGGTAATTTTGCTTCTATGCCATTGTTGGCTCTTTCCACACGGAGAGTCGAGCCCAAAGGAACTTGGACGCACAACAGAGACTTGGGATAGTGGGGGTAGATCAGAACAGCCCAGAGGCTTCTCCACCTCCCCAGGGAGCAGCCCAGGGAGCCCAGAACTGTTCTGGAGAGCAAACTGTGGCTCAGGAACAATCTAAACCCCTCTGGTCTTAACTATGGCTCGATTTTACTTTAATTGCCCCAAAAGAGGCAAAACCAAACCAAGTTATCAGAGCAATTTCTTCACATCCAAGCTGTGTGGAGAACGCTGGGCCATGCAGAAAGCCACCCTGCTGCAGCAAGATTCCACCACCCTCACCACTGCTGCAGTTGAGGAAGCCCCATCCCAGAATCCAGGAGTTTCAGCCCTGTTTCTCATCATCTCCTGGGTTTTTGTGTCAGTCCTAGTAGGACAGCTCACTTCCAGCCCCCTTCTTCCAGAAGGTAGGAGATCTTCAGCTGAAGCACAGAGGTCCCATTCCATCATTCTTGAAAGCAAAGCTGGGTGATCCCACAGTGTCTCACCGGGGCTGACCCGGCCTGCAGGAGYACAGGAAGCTGCACCTGGACCAGCGGGGCCAAGGGATGGGGCATCATGCGGGCTGCGAGTCCACCCGGGGGTTTGGAGCTGCCCCAGGGGCTGCAACTCCCCGGGTGTCGGAGCCACCCTGGCATCGGAGCCACCCAGGAGGTCGGAACTGCCCCGAGGCTGCCCCAGGGCCGGAGCTCACCGCGAGTCTCAGCGGGATAATCCGATCTGCAGGGCCAGGGAAGAACCGCGGGGACCGAGCGGAGCTGCGGGACCGGGCATCATCCGCGATAGGAGCCCACCCGGGGGCCGGGACTGCGCCGGGGATCGGAACCGGATCGGGG